GATTGTTCGGATCACTGGTATCTAAGTCTTCCGCTGTGCTATCTTATACTTTGTATTGAAAGGTCGGTTCTTGTTCTGGTCTGCACCTATACGGTGTGCAACACCATGCCTGATCGCTGTAGATTTCGGCCGGGTGCTGAAACAACAGCATGATCACCTCTTTGACCATAGAGGGGGTGATGGACTGGTGGTTTAAACTGTCATGAAACAACAGCATGATCACCTCTTTGACCATCCTCAGTATGTCTTACTGAGTAAATCCGGTAAATCTATCCCTTATTGTTTTTTTTTGACACAGTGTCCATAATCCTCCACTGTTATGGACAGACATCAATAAAATTCCTTTTGTCTGGATCTTTCAAACTTTTAATTCGATTCTTGCAGTGTCTCCGTTCGGAACTAATCGATGCTATGTTCAAATTGCCACTGCTCCGTAGTGTATCCGTACATCCTCAGAACACCACCCTCTTCCCACTTCTAATCATTAATCCTGTTTCCCTGCTTTTTGATATGATCGAAGCCCCACTGCTACTGGTTGTGTGCAGCTATTTTTCAGAATTTGTCTGTTATCGTTCCATGCTGCTGGTGCGATTGTCCAATTGCCCGCCTGGTCTTTCTTCCACCACCTGACCTTCAAAATGGCTGTGTATTCGTCTTGTGCAGTTAGCATTTGACGCTCATGATGGGCAGAAGAGGAAAAGTGGAGAGCCCTATATCATTCATCCTGTGGCTGTGGCACAGATACTGGGTGGATTGGTACGCCCATGTGACGACCGCCTTTCCAGAATCAAGTTTTTCCTGTTCCCTCTTTCTTTTTTTTTTTCCTGATGTTGTTGCCTTAGACTCTCAGGCTTATATGACATGCCTCGTGCTTATCGATGAGAAGCCATTTCAACCCATTATGATAAAAAGATTTAAAAGAGTAATGCACTGTGAAGGAATACGAAGACTGAAGCACAACAAACAGTGGAGCAGGATTAGAAGTTCAGAAGATTTGACAGCACCAGAGCTGCTACTGTATCATGTATGATGACGAGGTTTGAAATGGTTTTCACCTACATCGGTGACAGATCCCTGGACCTATCCCCTTACCCATGTACAGTACCTGTTGACCCGTATGTTTGAACCCGCGACCTGTTTCCTAGAAGTCTAAACTTCGGCTGTTGTATATAGTGCGGTCGCTGGGGGTTTGACCCGTAGACCTTAGTGTTAGTTGTGATAGGGTGAACGCAGTTCGTAGCTGCCTTAGTCCCCAAGTGTCAAGTCTAGAGTCTTCTAGACTAGTCCTACTGGCTCTTCGTAGGTCTAAGGAGTCAGCGAGGGGCAGTCCTAGTACAGTCAGCGAAGGGCAGTCCTAGTACAGTCAGCAAAGGGCAGTCCCAGTCCTACCTAGTCCAGTCCACGGTACCCAGTCCCAGGGTGCACTTTGTCTAGTCAGCAAGTACCATGTGGGACTGTGGACAGCCTGGGCCCAGGGTCCAAGGGCAGACCAACGATGATCCGAAGTATAAATAAAGAGGCAGCGTCAAGTCATTCATTCATTCTGCCTTTGAGCCGTGCGGAAGCGCTGTCGGTGTGTCTTGTGCTACGGAGGTCTGCAGGTGCCCGAGGAAGAAGAGGGCTAAGAGGAGGAAGACGCGGCCATAGTCGCTAGTAGCATGGGAGGTAGACGGCAGCCATAGCTGCCATGTAGGGTAGTGTAGGGAGTGTGTGTGTGTGCGGGACATCCAGGGTGATCCAAGTGTGTGTGTGTGTGTGTGCAAATAAGTTGCTGGTGAATACAGTTGATCGGGTGGGAACCATTGTCTGGCGCTATGCGCCATACACAAGTTTGAATCTGAGCTGTGTTCCTGGCCACATTGTATCTCTGAGCTTTGTGTGGGCGCTGTGCGCCAAGTTCTTTCATCATCTGTTTGGATGCATGCTGAGCAAGTCTAGACAAATCTGATTGCACTGGTATCAGAGCTGGTACCTGCTGTCCTGCGCCATCGCCATGGCCGCCGACGTTGAGAGGAGGGGCGCCTTGCACCAGTGCGCGCTATTTTTCCTGTGCGTTAACGTTGTCTCGCGGCTGCTGCAAAGATCGCGCGCCAGATTGCGCGCGCCCACGTGTGCCAAGTTTCCCTGCGCGCCGCTGCTTCTCCCCATCAACAGGCCACGCTCCGCTGCTTGTTGCGCACCTGTTTTTAGCTGCGCGTTGCTGTTTTCCGCGCGTGGCCGCTGTTGAACGCGCCCGCTGTTATCCGCGTGCGCTGATAGCCTTTGCCCGCCCGGTGCGTTTCTTGCACTCGCACGCGCTGTGCTGATTGGCTAGCGCGCCCGTGCACCGTGCGTCGTTGCGCGCCGTTGTCACCACACGCGCCGAAGGAGGAGGCTGCCACGTCGAAGGAGAAGACCGCCGCATTGAAGAAGGAGGCTGCCACGTGGAAGAAGACCGATGTGCGTGTGAAGACCGTGAAGAGAAAGAAAAAGACGACGAAGGAGAAAGAGAGAGAGAGAAAGGGAGGAGACTGGGTGCGCAAGAAAGAAGGTGGCGGCCATAGCTGCCGAGCTTGGAGGCGAGAAAGAAGACAATCAAGGTTGAAGACAGAGGTGACGAAGAAGAGACGAGAAAGAAAGGAGAGGGAAAGGAGAACAGAAGAGGAGCCCCATAGCCAAGGTGGAGGGAGAAGGAAGAAGTGGACGAAGGTGAAGGTCGATAACCATAGCCGGGTGGTCAAAGGTTGACCAACACGAAGTTGACCGGTGTTGAATGGGGTTGACCATGGGGTTGACCACGGCGTTGAGCAAGACCGTTGACCGAAGGCGTCAACCACGAACTTTGACCAAGCTGGAGCGCGGTATCTCTTCTTTTTGCAGCAAGTCACTTCTGTCTAGGTGATAGTATGAGGTCATCGAGCTGTGGTGACCAAAACCACACGGGACTTAGTAAGGCTCAAGCTACGCATGACGACTGACACGTCTCGGGGACAAGACCCCCAATGACCGGCACTGACCGGCGGTGTGATGAGGCTGAGGCAGAGCATCGAGGCTGGGGAAGAGAGGGGGAGGGAGTGAGAGCACATGCACACACTCACTCGACTCGACACTGACTCGACACGGACTCGACACGACTTGATGGATGTAGACACAGAGTGGCAAAGTCGCAAAGTCGCAATCTTGGTTCCGAACACAGTCACACTGAAGCACAAGCAGTGACGCTCAAAACCGAATCCCCGAACTCAGCTTGAGTCCAGTCAAGTTGAGTCCGAGGGCAAAAGTGCAATTTGCCTCGGGGCTGCACTGCAAATCGGAGGTCTGAGCCTGGGCGCCAGAATGCTGGACGACGCCAACTGCAGAGGGCACCAACAGTCAGGAACCGGAGATCAGAGACTCAAAAATACAGCCTGGCGGGTGGTAACCCACGGACCAGGGATAGAGCCCTGGTTGAGTCCGTAACACTATCCCCTCCCTCTGGAAGGCAACGTCCCGGCTGACAAAGACCCAATGAACAACTGTGAAGGACGGGACGGGGACGATCACTGGTCAGCAAAGGAAAAGGGAAGTAATGCAAGTAGCAGGATAATCCTACCGAGCTTCTATAGGGATGAGGGAATCAGTGCTCAAGTAACAGGGCAATACTATTGATGTTCTACATGGATGAGGGAATCGATGCTCAAGTAACAGGGTAATCCTGTTGAGGATCTACAAGGGTGAGAGTAGCAGTGTTCAGGTAGCATGGTAATCCTATTGAGGTTCTACAAGTACTAGGGTAGTCCTATTGGTGTTCTACAAGGTTATAGGTTGTCAGGTTTGAGAGAAAAAAATAGAAAAAAATAATAATAATTGGGCTTACTATAGTGGGATTTCAAACTCATGGACTTCATTTTTCGAGTTTTTTATTACCTCAAGGCATACCTTTGCCACTGGGACCTTTTTTAGTACTTCTTGAACTAATTTCTTATTGTTTTCGCACACTAAGTCTAGGAATACGTTTATTTGCTAAATTGTTTGTTCAATGCTCAAGTGCTGGGGTGTCTGAGGGGTTTGGAAAAACAACGCCTCAGGTCTGTAACAAGGTGTGAGAGGCGAAAAAATTCTTGAGGAAGGTCTTGGAGGGTGTTGCAGAAGTGGCGGTGAGGAAGCAGTCTTCATCAGTTCTGTGGTATAGACGGTGAGGGCTTCGGCTTGATTGTCCCAGTAGCAGGTTGCGTTCCGTACACGATCTGATGACGAAGTCTAATCCGGATAGCAGGTCGTAGACTGATCTTGATGTTCATGTCAGGGGTTCTGCTCCAGAAGTCTGCGAGTCCAAGGTGCCGGCCAAAAGGAACAGCATGGTGGCCAACCAGCTGTCTTATCTCCTCGTACTGAGCTGCAGCATGCCATTGTCCTCGTGCGCTTGCCATTAGATCCATTATCGTCGGCGACGCACAGGGGCCACAAAGAGGATTTGGACAAGAGAGATAAGGATGTGGCGGACGACAAATGGGAGAACGGGGCGAGACGGAGGCAAGAGCGGATCAGACAGAGGGAGATCAAGGGGCAAGGGGTTTGCTGGGTGCAGGGGTGTCTGTGGAGCAGAAATGCGGGGTTTTGGTGGGGTCAAGGCGGGGTTTATGCAAGGGTTTAGGGTTTGAGTTATATTTTGTATCTAGGATATAGGGTGAGCACGATCATAGGAGCGAGAACAAGTTTCATATCATTCTTAAGGTTAACAAGAGGTATGCATGTGCATTCTTCGTCAGGGTATCCTGTCCATTTAACTTTGTATACTATGATTGGTTCAGGGTGGTCAGATACCAGAGTAGTTCTTCGTCCTATGATAGGGTCTGTGGGAGCATGATCGGCGTAGGTCTGGGGTATGGGCGGTCAGCGAATTGGGGTGGGGATTCATTGTATTCTTTTAGGTATTCTACGTGGAAGACGGGGTGGACGCGGCTCATGT